TAATTGGTGATTTTGATTTCAAAAATGAGTAACTGGAGCTTTAACTTGGTTACTACATGACAAAACACTGAAAATCAGAGACCAACTTACACTTCTTCATCCCCGGTTTTAACCGATGCTCTCCACCATGGTCCAAACTGTACAAGATTTTATTTTATATATAGTATTAGGTATAGTAAGGTCAGGTGAGGAAGTAGTGCAGCAATAATTTTCAAACAGAGTGGAAAAAATATGACTTCAAATTTAATTTATGTTATAAGTGAAACATTGACTTTTTACTTCAGGTTCTATTATAATTTTGCTTTAAAGTTGATGTAGGCTCAGAAAAAAATCCTTCTATATTGCAGCGAGGTGAAGCAGATGTTGTACAGTGTCAGATAAACACTGTCGTACAGAGTTTGTTGTGAAAACAAACAGAAGAACTGGTATAAAAACTGCGGCGTGATAAAACACACATTCTTGTAGAAAAAGTACTGTACAAGCGTAGAAATAAAAGCCTTTTATTTATATATACTATATAGACAATTATATCTATAACTTACAGCAGTGTCTTCAGCTTCATATTTGGATCTTCCTTTATATCGGTGAGTTGTCTGGTCCCAAGGTCTCCTGGGTGATTATAACTCAGATCCAGATGTTTCAGGAGGGAGGCTGCATTGGATATGAGAGATGAGGCCAAGAAAGAGCAGCCTTTCTCTGTTACCTGACAACCAGACAATCTGCAGAGAGAAATTATTTTGATGGTCTTTCTGACTTTTTCATAAAGGTTTGAAATACTCAAAAAACGATTCAATAAACACATGACACATTAATGTCTTTAATAAGATGATCACCTTCTCTTTAACATCAGGTTTGCTGCAGTGAATGTATTTATATAAGACATTTGAATGCTGTGAATGTTTTTCCTGCTTGGGTAAACTTGACAAAATGTTCACAGAAATTTCACGTCCTATTTACATAAAGTATGAGGCCAGGTAGACCGTTTAATTGGTTTCTATATTCAGAAACCCCAGACCTGCCCAAGATAATGCAAACAATTGGCTGTTAAAAGTCAGAGGCAGGAAGAGGCAGTTAGGATTAGATGACTGTTAGAAGAAACCTGTTATTTGCTTTCATCCCCCTTTAGTTTGGGGTTAGGATATAATGGTAATGGGAAACAATCATCTATTATGAACAATGTGTTAAGGCACAGCTTTTCTGCAAACTTTGACTAAAGTGTAAAAAATATTTGTCTCTAATAAAATTCATATGTGGCTAAAAACAGTCTAGTGTCCTACAAACAGTCTGTTATACTTTGTACCATATGGAAACCTTTTAACTTTCTAACAGGAAAAGACAACAAAAACCTCCCTGGCAGTGTGATTTATGCACACTTACTTCAGAATCTCCAGTTTGCAGTGTGAATTCTTCAGGCCATCTGCAAGATGCTCCACACCCACATCAAGCAAATCATTATGGCTAAAGTTCAACTCCAAAAGGTTTGAGAATGCAGAGCTTAGGACTGAGGATGTCAGACCACTGCAAGCTTTTTCAGAGAGCTCACACCAAGTCAGCCTGTGAAAATGAGACATACAGCAAAGTGCTATGAACTGTTACTTTGCACTAGTATGTTCAAGTAACTAAAAGATCATGTATACAGTTACATAAATTATTTGTTGGACAGGGACATAATTTTTATAGCTCTGACTCTGTGCACCACCACATTAGATTTTAAATAGAACAATTAAGAAGATTCAAGGAGATCAACAAAAATTTTGCATTTACTTTAGAAATTACAGAAACTTGTAAACTAGTTCGCCATTTTCAGAAGCTTTGAATTAATTTCACAAAAGTACATAATTTTAAATCCAAATAAATAATCCTTTAAATAAAGAATTATTTGTAATATTTGGATTGAAACCATTTGTTAGTCATAGCTTTAAGTCTAGAGCCCATGGATGTCACCAGATGTTGCATTTCCTTGATGCTCTGTCAGGCCTTTACTGCAGCCACCTTCAGTTGCTGTTTGTCTGTGAGCCTTTCTGTATTCAGTTTGATATTTAATGAAAAACCAGGTTTAGATAAGTTGACACTCAAGAATATCCCATTTCTTTGCCTTAAAAAAATCTAGCATGTCAGGAC